GTAGGGAATTTTCGTTTTTAAAGCAGAGAATAGTGCATGTAGACAATCTAGTTGTTTGTATAGGCAATAATTTTTGTACTCAAACAAACCGTCGACAAATGTGACGTAGACAAACTGTACTGTAGGCAATCAATTTGTAGGAAAACGGTCCTCCCTCTCCGGGATAATACATCAATCTTTACTTAAAGCAAGATGTTTTCACGCAGAACTCTAGGAATATTATGGCGATGGTTCAATAATTGACAAAATAACAAATTACTAATGCTCTAATAACAATTGCTTTAATATAGATCTTGTCTGTTGATTTATAATATAGTACTTACATAAATGATAGTCATACATACAAAAATAATGGTCAGCACGTACATTCAATCTTACAATGAGAGTGTGTTCTGAAGAAGCAGCTGGATAAATTAGCATTAAAAAATTCTTTATTACGATTGTTCTGTACATTTAGGGTACGTTTCGTTTTCATGCTCACATACTGTAAATGCTAGTGCAAAACGTATTTTTAAGATAGTACACACGTGACTATATCATTCGGAAGTTAAGACCCCCTGCGCGTTCGGTAACAGCACTCTTACACTCCACTCCCGCTAGTGCACAGTGGGACCGAAAAGTGTCTAAAAGTCTTGTAACATACACATACTCGTTTGATCCCTTGAATTTTCGCACTACTTTTCGGATTATCGAAATGTGTCCAAAGAGGTATTATAATATTACAAAAAGATATAGTAAATGTCCCTGTGACCGTATATGTTCGGACACTTACACAAAATTAATTATTATTAATCTCTCAAATGATCTTTTCATTAGAATATCGAAATTTAATTATAATTAACAATTACAATGTTATTAAATTACGATGTTATTAAATTATGATGTTATATTTAAAAAATTTGAGATTAATATAATAATAAATTTTAGAGTATTAGGGTATTTTAAAGATTAAGTCAGTCATATTGGATCCGCCGTTTTGAAATATTAATTTTGACATCAATGACTCAAAAAGTTTATATAAATATAGCTTTTTTGTAACAATATGATACATCTTTGATTTTTGGCCACTTTTTCAACAATCGACTCCACTGTGCAGTGAGAGAAAACTTTTAGTTGCGCCTGTCCATTATTACACGCTGACACGGAAAAAGTGAACGTAAATAGTCTAACACAGTTCAATGATATCTTCCTTTGATTCACATTTCGGATTGACAATTAAATGTTTACAAAAATTAAATAATTTTCCCGAATCTATTTTTAAAACTAAATAGTAAAAAATTATGATATTTTTTTCATAATATTGGTTTCATGTTATTCCATCGCATGATCGTTTCTTATTAACATATCACCAGTTAGGATCTATAGAAATAAATTTGACATTTTCATGGACTTTGTATAAGCGACACGTATAAAAAGTACGGCCTTCAATTGCTTATATCTCACAATCAGTACTGAAATCTCAATCTCATTACAATAGTACAAGCATAACAATGACTTCTAATACTATAATATATGTATAGCATCAATTTCAAGAAATTCTGTTTTCAATTCGCGAGTGTACTACCTTAAATCCCACAAAAACGTAAATAATTAAAATTTAAAAAAAAAATTAATTTATTGCAAGGTTTTATGTTCTGAATGTATTGCCAACTTCACACGTCGATGCACCTGTGTCAGACAGTGTTCAATTGTATCTCCTAGAAAAATGGTATTTACTGGAAATCTCCCATCATATATATATTTTATCTCGTAAAAAATTTACATGTTTATTCTCAACTTCTTTCACCATCAGTTCGTCATTATTATTAAGAGTAATCGTAACTGTCCTTGATCGTCTATTCTGTTGTCAGTCGCGGTTAGTTCTCTATTATGGTAGCACTCGTGTGACACTAAAAAATAAATAATTTTTTATATATGAAAAGTATTGTGATATATTACAATAATCTATAATAATATGATTATAAGTATATAACAAAAGTAGAAAGAAAAGACAAATGTGAATCTGCTAATGAATTAAAGCGATATATCATGAAAGACCTCATCGTGTATGTGTTTTTGGAGTGATGTTTTAAATTTGAATCTCTTGCCACACATCGAACATTTATGTGGCTTGTTATCGATATGTACAAAACAGTGACTATCTCTGTTATCTTTTCTATTAAAGTCTTTACCGCAAAATTAAATACAGCACATTTATAATTACAGAAAGGCAAAAATAGAAACAGTCAAATGAGACATAATTAGAAAAAATACTAACGATAATGTTAAGCGTACCTCGCAAAATTATAATTTCTCGCCTTTATGTGTTTTTGTATGCTGTGCAAGGTATTTAGCAAGTGCAAATGTAGCTGAACATATCTCACATTTATACGGTTTTTTAATGTGCTTCGTGTCTACATGATCATACAAATCCTGTTCAGTATTGAAACCATCCTTACATTCCTTACAATTGATATGTACATTGTGTTGCGTTTTCTTGTGTTTGTATAGATTACTAGGATGACTGCAAAGTATTTATCATCTGTTAACAATTAATTTAAGTAAAGTGATTATGTAATAATTCGTATAAGTTTTGTCTCACGTACTAACCTAAATGATGCTTCGCAAATGTCGCATTGACAAGGTTTGTCACCTTTATGTGTTCTCTCATGAAAACGCATATTAGATTTACTCTTAAACGTTTTACCACACGTTCCGCATTTGTAGAGCTTAACTTCAGTATGTATGTTTATATTATGTTGTTTCAAATTTCCCAAGGATTTAAACTTCTTATCTTTAATAATAAAGAAGATGATTGTTATAAAACAGATATGAAAATGGTAAGATAAAAAGTATAACTGCAGAGATAATACAAAGTTATCAAAAACATTGAAAATATTAATCATGAACTACGTAAATTATCTTACAACATTGTTCGCATACAAATTCTTTTGTGTCATTGTGCGGTCGTTCATGCTGATTGAAACATTGCAAATTTTGTGATATAAAACTCATTTTTTTAAAATTCAAATTCCGAAGTCTTTAGAAGTATTCTCAATTTATTTTATTGTAACATTCACTGGACTCTTTTCGTAGTTCTCACAGTTTAAATTTTTTCGAACATATTAACTTTCAAGTTTATCCACCTGTACAAAAATATAATTTTTTACTATCTTCATAAATTCTTTATCAAGAAAATTATATATGACGGAAGGTTGTCGTTATTATTTTATCCCCCTTAAACAGCTTTAAACACTTTTTGCAAAACGGCAGGAGAATACACTGTTATAACAATGTCTGAAATAGCCTATAAAATATTCACAAATTATATATAGAATTGTCAAAGGTACTGTTTTTAGTGGTTACTCAATTTATGCTTATACAATAAGAATTGTATGAAATTTTTATCGAACTCAGAACCACCTTTTAGTCTTTTACCTGTAAATTAATACATTTTATCGTCAATTTTACTATATACCATGTAATTTGGAAAAAAATTTTAATTTATACATGAACGTTTCTTCATTTTTTCTGATTTACATAGATAAAATATTCATATACACACGTTGAAAACAATGAAAATAGTAGAAAGTAGTTCAAACTGGGTACGAATAGGAACATGTAAATAAAAAATCGTTATCAAGGTGAACATCTTGTATATATGACTAATAAGTATGAAATAAGCAATATTAAAGTAAACCGTATAATTGCTTGTCATGGAGAATCTGATAAAAAGAAATTAGAGAGAATTTAGTGAGCAATGAACAATAACCAAAGTCTATTTTGCGTTCGACGAGATGAGAAAAGATTGATTCTGGTCAATAAAATTATAATGAACCGATAGCTATGACGAAAAGTAAAAAGGAAAAGATTGATGTGTCATAGGTAGACTAAATCATAAAATGAGATCCCTAAAATTAGAATGACACCTGACATTAGGTTATAAAACTGAAATTTTGATGATTTAATAATTTACATGCAATTCTTACGGCTTAAACGTGGTAATCAAGATTATTACGGTTGAATTTCAAATTGTTTGCTGACAACTAATCACGTCAAAATCTTGAGAACAACTGAGGCTCGAGGTGAACATATATGTATGTATATATATATATATATAT